TAGAATTCTTTTATTTCATCCTCACTGGCTTTAGTGGTTGGTGCATAAATTTGAATAATAGTGGTATTAATTGGGCTTCCCTGTAGGCGCATGGACATTATCCTATCACTTATAGTATTGTATCTCATGACTGATCTGTATATGCTCTTTTTGACAATGAATGCAACACCATTCCGCTTCAATTTGTCATTCTCTGCATAGTAAACCATGTGGTTGTCAGATTCAAAATGGCCAATACCAGTCCATCTCAGCTCACTAAAGCCTAAGATATCGATGTTTATGCGTTCCATTTCATTTTGACAATTTCCAATTTTCCTAAATTCATACTTCGTACATTCCATGTTCTGATTATTAATGGATGTTTACAGCTGTTTCTCTTCATTTTGAGTTGTGCCCCATCAGTAAATGAAAGTCCCATGGGCTTTACTCCCACGGGCTTTACTCCATTCTCATCATCATGGTCAACTCTACTTTGAGGAGGCAGCTGTTCCCCAGTTGCATTTTGAGTGCCTTCCAACTTGAGGGGCTCATTTTCCGACACTATGTCTGACAGTGTTTTTCGGCTATTCATAAGGTTTTCAGTGACTATTTGGAAGTAGTTCGTCACTCCTTCTTCCTAGTCTGTCTTCGTCTGGAAGCTCATCTGAAACTTTTCCACCATAGGTGATCCTGCTAGTATTTATGATACCTGTGGCGCACAAGCCACCACAGTACCACAAACCGACAGACGAGTCGTGATACATATGTAGATACAGATGTAAAGAGAAAGGCACTCTGGTAGTGCAGTGGTTATGAGTCGGGCTGCTAACCTCAACGTCAACAGTATAAAACTACCAGCAGTTTCGCAGAAGAAAGATGAGACTTTCTTCTCCAGTAAAGATTTACAGCCTTGGAAACCCTATGCAGGGTTGCTATGAGTCGGAACCAACTCCACAGCACACAACCACTACCATCACCATATAAAGAGATGTCTATTATCAAGGAAATGGCTTACAATTGTAGAGTACCAGGTCCCCAGTGGAAGAGAGACAGCAAGAGTCTCTCCCATGTGTCCATTATATTGTAAGTAGGCCACAACCCCAAGGAAGCATCCTTTCAATTGATTGGCTGCTCACAGCCAATCACCACAGTGTTAACTATGGCTGTATTAGGTTTTATCACCAGGTATGCTCCCAATCTTAACATGAGGCTGAAAGTTGGTGGATCCTTAGGAGAACTGGATTAAACAGGATTAAACTGGATTAAGTCAGCAGTTCGAAACTACCAGCTGTTCCACAGGAGAAAGATGAGGCTTTCTGCGCCCATAAAGATTTACAACTTTGGAAACCCTATGCAGGGTCACTATGAGTGACCACACCAGCTCCACGTCACATAAGCATCACTACCAAACATCTTTCTGGTATTCTTTGCTTTCAACCAAGATTCTTCTGATATTGGCAATATCCTAGATCTACGTCCTCTTCTGAACCTGGTTTGAATTTTTGGCAGTTCCCTATCAATGTACTGTGGAGCCGTTTTTGAATTCTTTTAAGCAACATATTACTTGCATGCAAAAATAATGATTATGTTCTATGACCACTTTGAAATGAACACAAATACGGATCTCTTCCAACTGGCTGGCCAGGTAGCTGTCTTCAAATTTTCTTGGCATGATTGAGCCAGTGCCTCCAGTGCTGCATCAGTTTGTTGAAAGATTTCAATTTCTATGCCATCAATTCCTAGAATACTGTTTTTCGCCAATGCCTTCAGTGCGGCTTGGACTTCTTCATCATCACGGGTTCTTGATCATATGCTACCTCTTTAAATGGTTGAATACCGACCATTTCTTTTTGGTACAATGATTATAAATTCCTTCTATCTGCTTTTCCTTATCATTTAATATTTTGCCCATTGTTGTTAAGTGCTGTCACGTCTGTTCCAATTCATAGCAACCCTGTTTCTGAGGAGCAGCTGGTGGATGTGAACCACCAGTCTTACTGTTCAAACTAACATTGCAGTCCAGTATTTATTCTAGAGTGCCACATCAGGACTCCATAGAATCCTTCAGTATTGTAGCCCGAGGCTTGAATTGTTTTTTCGTTCTTTCTTGGGAGACTTCTGCAGGGAGTCAGAAGAGGTCTCATCAGGAATGAGGATGGAGGACTTATTGGGAAAGGGTTAGTTAGGGAGTGTTAAGACATGGGCTCAGGTTCCAAATCTTAACTGCTTGGGAAATTTTGGGCTTAACCTCTCCAGACCTCAGTTTAGCATCTTAAAAGGTGTGAGGATGGGGGTGGGGGAAAGGATGGACTGGGGACAACTGTTGAACTTACTCAGTTATTAAGCTCTTAGATTCATAGATTTCAATTCTTAGATTCTAAGATTCTCTACCAATCATTCTTTTTTTTTTAAAGAAGTAAATACTTCCTATGCTTGGAATTTCAAATATTCTCAATCAATGGTCTTTCTAAAATACTCACTATCCTGTAGGGGGAAGCAGGTTGGCTCTGTAGAATAAACACTGGACCGTGCATCACAAGGACAGTGGTTCAAGTCCACCAGTAACTACATGGGAGAAAAATGAAGTGTTCTGCCACTTCAAAGACTTAGTCTCAGAAATACTATACAGGGTCACTGTGAGTCACAACAAACTCGATGGCACTTAACAACAACAACACAGTGAATAGGGAATACCGTAGAAAAACTGATGCTTTTGAACTATTGTGTTGGAGGAGAATATTTAAAGTGCCATGGGCTGCCAAAAGAATCGACAGATCCGTTTTGGAAGAAGTGCAGCCAGAGTGCTCCTTAGAGGCCAAGATGGCCAAACTTCATCTCTCATACTTTGGATATATTGTTAGGAGGGAGCAGTCGCTGGAGAAAGATAACATGTTTGGTAAGGTGGAGGGTCAGAGAAAAAGAGGAAGACCCCCCCAACGAAATGGATTGGCCAAGTGGCAGCATCTATGGACTCAAGCGTGGCAACAGTAGTGAGGTTGACCCGGGATCCGGCCGTGTTTTGTTCTGCTGTGCATAAGGTCGCTATGGGTCGGTACCTACTCGATGGCACCAAACAACAATTGTGTGTTCCTCCTGTAGGATAAGCACTGGACCGAAGGTCGGTTTGAATGGCAAGGTCGGAGGTTTACACCCACCAGCTGCTCCTCGGAAATCTTGTACAGGGTCACTAGGAGTCAGAACCTGTACAGGATCGACTACGAATTGGAACCGATTTGATGGCACTTAACAACATCTGTGTGCTCAGTGGGAACCCTTGCCTCTTAATCTTCCCATCCAACCACGTGGGTAAACTGATTCTGTAGGAGAACATAATTATGGCTTGTCCAGGGACAGGGATCAAGGCCGGCCTTGAATCCAAGGCCAGTGCGTGGTGCTGTTTTAGGTACAGAGGAACCAGGGTGTTATCTCTAAAGCGCTGACAGAAGTGAAAGGCAATAGTCTCTACTGAGCAGCCTAGCAGTTAAACAGTCGCTACAAGCCAGACGCCAAAAGTGACGGTAGACTCTAAGCATCACTGAGCTGCAGGCGGAGAAAGACAAGAGTCCAAGGGCGAGCGCCCCGCCTACGGGCGGACCCCAACTTCTTACCCGGAACCTGCGCAGGGCAGGGCTGTGCTATTGGTGCGGGTGGGGACGAGCCGCCGAAAAATGCTCATGACGAGACTTTCGCTGAAACGCCCCCTCAGTCTCTCGGGAGGGAAAGTACCTGGCTCTACAACGTCTTTTAGGATTAGCTCCCTGGGCTGGCTCCCTTCTGCTCACCTTCCTCGGAGTTCTTTCTTTCTCTTCGGCTCTTCATTGGATTCCCACTTGGTATGCTCGTTCCCCCCACACGCCCACGACTCGGGGAGGCCAGGAGGCCGCCTTCCTGGGCACTGCGCATGCGAACCACCCCGAAGGGTGGGGGGGAGGAAAGGGGAGCGTGGGCACGGACCCCGCCCCTGCGCGGCTCCACGCGTGACGTCGCGGGGGGCACCGGCCTCCAAGCGGTGAGAGCGAGCGAGCGAGCGGCTGGCGGACCCGAGCGGCCAGCGGGCATGGGATGCGGGGCCTAAGTTCCTGCAGACGACGGGGTTCTTGAGGGGAGGGGGTGGGAAAAGGGGGCCTCAGGTGCACTACTACCTACTGACCCTCAGGCTCTGCCTCTCCTTTCTTTTCTCCCTTCTGGACTTTGCGGAACGGGAGGCAGGGCAGGGGCTGAGCATTTATTTGTGATTCCCGAGGTTCCCTGGCGCCCTCCTCTCCCCACCCGTATGTTTATCTCCTTGCCTTCCAGATGTTCCTTTTCTTCAGGCTGTCGCTTCTCGCGTGGGATAAGATGGTAGCGCGGAAAGAGTACTCAACTTGGAAGCAGGAGACAGGTTTCAGACCTTGGCCTTACCACTCCTGTGTTATAATTCCCGAGCCTCAGTTTCCCCCACAGTGTTTTTTGCCCTGCCCATGCAGGGCTCAGTGTGACACAGGAAAAGGAAATGGGTATTTGTTGAGTTCTTGCATGATCAAGTCCCATACCAACGGATCTCTCTGCCACATTTAATCATTACGTGGGGTTCGAAGAATTCCTATTCCACATGCGATTCACACCGGTTTCACATAGCCAATGAATGACAGAAGGAATTCAAACGGAACAAACTTTGGTTCCAAAGCAGAGCTTTTTTTCATCTGACAGCCTTGACTTCCTTTGTGTGAGCTCTGGATAGAGGTCTTCAACCCAACCCTACCCCAAAATAGCTGCTTCCTATTTCTCCCACTGAAAATTGTCCCTTTTGAGTTCCTTTTGCTCATGCAGGGTGCTCTGCTCTACTTCCGCATTGATTACCTCAGAAATGAAACACAGCAAACATTTACTGAGTGATGTAGGGAGTAAACACTTGGAGTCAAGAACCTTGGATCCTTGTCCTGACTTTGCCGCAGAAATGGCTGTGTGGCCCTAGGCAAGCCCCCTTGTCTGCTCAGCACTTTAGCATCCCTTTCAATAAAATGGAAGAGTGCAGCAGGCTCTTGTCCAGTTCTCCCTCTCTGTCCCTCAGCAGGCTCTCCGTGGAGGCCCAGGCCCCTCTGCTCCCCATGGGCAGCTGCCAGGCAGGGCACAACCTTCATCTCTCTCTGGCCCACCACCCGCCTCTGGTCTGTGCCACTTTGGTCTTGCTGCTTCTTGGCCTCTCCGGCCTGGGTTTCGGCAGATTCCTCCTCACCCATCAGACTGACCTGCGCAGCCCCGACATCCCTCAGGTAAGCATCCTCCTGCCTATCCTCTCAACTCAGGCGTGTTCTTGATATTAATCCACCTTCACCTTCCTCTTCTCTTCTTTGTACACAGGACTGGGTCTCCTTCTTGAGGTCTTTTGGCCAGCTGACCCTGTGCCCTGTGAATGAGACCCTCACAGGGAAGTGGCATGGGTCTCACGTCGTGGGTTTACTGACGACCTTGAAATTTGGAGATGGTCCAGACAATAACAAGACCCAGACGTTTCAAGCCCAGATTCTGGGTAGTCAGATGGGATTGAAAGGTGAGATGGGGAAGGACTGTGAGGTTGGGATTCAGAAGACTGGGGGTTGAGCTCTGCCTCTACCAGCACCAATCTGGTGACCTTGAATACATCTCTGAGTTTTCGTTATTTCCACTGTAAGGGTAACGGAGACATTTTCAGTGAACGTGCTTCCCACAGTGTAGGTTCTATTAGCTTGTTTTCTTTCCCCTTCCAGCTCAGGGTTTTTTTTATTTTGTTCTTAGTCTAGGTTTGACTCTGTATGCTTTTTCACCCCTGCCTTTTTCCTATCAGTGATATCAGAGATACATGTTTCTATTCAACTATTGAGTGTCTACAATTTGCTTAGCAGAGTGCTACATGGTATGGAGGATACAGAAAAAACTAGACACCATCCATTTCCAAAGAATCTTCTGGGAAATGATGGCAGAGAATCATTGAGTACCACTAATTCCTGTGTAACTTTTAGCTTCAGGTTCCTTATCTAAAAGTTGGCAAGATGAAGAAGAGAGAAAGGTGAAATTCGCTGACTTTTGAGGTTCTTTATAACATTATTATTATATTATTGTCTTATGCTTATAATTTCAATTATAACAATCAGTGATATTTACAAAATACCCACTAGTGTGGCTCTATGGGGTAAAGCACTGGACCCCAAGGTCATTTGAACCACAAGGTCGGTGGTTTAAACTCAACAGCAGCTATTTGGAAACCCTATACAGGGTTGCTGTGAGTCAGAACTGACTCAATGGCACTTAACTACAACAGTCCTGTAGGGGATGGAGTCCTCGTGTGGCACTGCTAACCACAGGTTAGTAGTTCAAACCCACCAACCACTCTTTGGAAAGAGTGACCCTATACAAGGTCACTGTGAATCAATCGGAACCAACTTGAAGGCACTCAGCAACAGAAATAGCTTCCTTGTAGGGTACTGTGCCAGAAATTTGGGGGTAAGAATGGAGTCCTGGTGTGGCGCTGTGGGTTAATGCACTAGACTGTAAAGCCGTTTGAACTGCAAGGTTGGCAGTTCAAGCTCACCAACTACTCCTTGGAAACCCTATACAGGGTCGTTATGGGTCAGAATCAATTCGACAGCAGTTAACAACAACAGACAGAATGGCATGGTGTCACCTAACAGGAGGGTTGGAATCTCTCCATGTCCAAATATTCATATATGAACAAAGCACAAAAATAAAGGAATGTGTCTGATATCTACAGACTTGAAACAGTTTTACTATTTTTTTTATTCTTTAAAAAAGATAATACAACTTGACTGAGATACAATTCACATACCATATAAATCACCTATTTAAAGTGAGTGCTTTTAGTATATGCAATAAATTGTGCAACTATCACTATAGTCAGCTTTAGAATATTTTCATCATTTCAAAAGAAACCTCACCCCACACTTAGCAGTCATTTCTGATTTCCTCCAAAGCCCCCAGTCCCAAGCAATTCTTAATCTACTTTCTGTCTTTGCTAATTTGCCTGAGGTAGAATCATGCAATACACATATTCTGTGTCTAACTTCACTTAGGATAAAGTTTTCAAGATTCATCCATGTTGTAACACATATTAGTACTCCATGCTTTTTATACCCAAATAATAATTCCATTGTATGGATATGCCACATTTTGTTTCTCAGTTGAAAGACTTTTGAGTTTCCGTTTTGGGGGCTTTTATGAATAATGTTCATGTGAACGTTTGTGTACAAGTTTTGGTATGGACATGTGTATTCATTATTTTGAGGTATATACCTTATTTTGTTAAGTGCCGTCAAGTCAGTTTAGACTCATAGTGACCCAGGGTAGGGTTTCTGAGGAGTGGCTAGTGGGTTTAAACCTAAAATCTTGTGGTTCAAACTGACCTTGTGGTCTGGTGCATTACCCTGCAGGGCCACACCAGGACTCTGGTATATACTTAAGAGTGGAATTATTGGATCATATGGCAATTCTGTTTAACCTTTTTGTGGGGGTACATTTATTATTATTATTTATTATTTTGACAGGCAAGAGTAAGGTTAGGGTTAAGACAATGGCTCGGTCTGGGCTAGGCTTAGAATTTCACTTAGTGTTAGGGTGTGGTTAGGACTAGAGTCAGTGGTAGGGGTAGGAGTAAGGTTTGGTCTAGTTTTAGGGTTGCAGTTAGGTTGCTTTTTGTTGTTGTTGTTCTTTTTGCTATTTTTTTCCTTAAAATCTACTTGATTTTCTCTACATTTGGAAGTTCTGTATGTTTGTTTCACTTTGAATACTTCCATATTGCTTTGGTAGCACGTTTTCTAAAATTGGAATGATATAGCGAAGATTAGCATGGCCCCTGTGTAAGGATGACACACAAATTTGTTAAGCGTTCCATGATTTTTTCAGAGCCCTGGTGTGGCACTGCAGGTTAATGTGCTGGACTGCAGGTTGGTTTGAACCACAAGGTTGGTGGTTGAAGCTCACCAGTCACTCCTTGGATACTCTACAGAGTTGTTGCGGGTTTAGAACCAACTCCATAGCACATAACAACAATGTATCTGGATTGAATTTTCAATGGTGTCATGTATGGTAGTCTCAGGTTGTTGTTTGCTGTTGTTGAGTCTCTGGTTAGAGAACCCCCTTAAGTATTTTTTGTCAGGTTGGGCTGGTGTTTACAAATTCTTTTCATTTCTGTTTATCTGGAAATATCCTAATTTTTGCCGTCATGTGTAATGGACAATTTTGCTGGGTATAGATTTTTGGTTGACATTTTTCTTCTGTCAGAGTTTTATATATGTCATCCCATTGCCTTGCCTCTGTGGTCTCTGTTGAGAAATCAGAGCTTAGTCTTATTTGTTCTCATTTGTAGGTGCCTTGTCATTTTTCCCGGCCTGCCCTCGGGTTTCTTTCCTTGCCTTTGGTTTTGAAAAGTCTTATTATAATATTTCTTGGAGATTTTCTTTGCGGGTCTGTCCTGTTTGGAGTTCCTTCAGCTTCTTGAATACACATTTTCTTGCTTTTCATGACATTAGGGAAATTTTCTTCCAGCAAATATTTGACAACATTTTCTATAATTTTTTTTTTGTCTTTTCCTGTTCTGTAATTCCACCCACACATTAAGTTATTCCTCTTGATAAGTTATTCCTCCACATAAGTTTTAGGCTTTCTTCAGATTTTTTTGTTCTTTTTATTTTTTTAACTGTTCCTCTAACAGAGGACTATTGAAAGATTTGCCTTCAAATTCACTAGTTTGGCCTTCCGTTGATTCAGTTCTACTTCTTTGCCCTTTAAATGTGTTATCTATTTCTGAAGTATTGGTTTTCTGGCTTTCTCATTGTTGTTTTTGTGTATGGTTTCCAATTTTTTTATTTACTTTGTCTGTTTGTTCTTGTAATGTTTTCCTGAGTTCTTCAGGAGAGTTTGTGTTGGTTTCATTTGCAGTTTTCTCCATCATTATCTTAATACGTTGAAGGCACCTAAATATCATTTTTTCAAATTCCTTATGAAATTCTTCTGATACCATTTCTAGTGTTGTATTTTCTGACTCTATTTTGATTGCTTGCTTGAGGCAATCTGTCTTATTTCTTTGTGTCAGCTGAAACTGTTTGTTGTCTCTCAGACATTGTTACTGTATTTATATTGAATTGATGACTATATGTTTGTGTGTTCTTAGGCTCTCACCAACTGTCTCCTGGTGAATGTGATAAAGTAGAAATTCAATGCTGTTCTCTGTAGACTGTATAAGATAGCTCAGGGCAGGTTCATGCACCTCCAGACAGGGGGGTGGTATCCTGGTGCCCAACCCCAGGGAGAGAAGAGGCTACATGGGGAAGGGTGCCATAGGCTGCGGGGCTAATGAGGACACAGGGCACAAGGGAGAACTGTCCCGACACCACCATTTGCCACCAACCTCCAGCTGCATCCTGTGCCTCTAGGCTGCTGTGGGATAGAGCACTGGACCACAAGGTCAGAGGTTCGACAGCCACCTGCAAAAGCTCAAGATGGCCACTGCTCCAGGCCAGCTGACAGTCCATCTACTTTTCTTCTCTTTCACTACTTCTGTTTAGCTTCTTTTCCAGACGTCACACAGTCCCCATCTCTGCCCTATTCTCTGAAGCTTGGGGTTGGATCACCATCTGTGTCTGTCTGTTTCAGTTGGTCCCTATGTCCTTGTTGCAGGGATCTGCTCAGTGCATCTACCTACTCCATCATCTTGCCCCAGAAGTCTGTTTAACCTTTTGAGGAATTGCCAAGTTGTTTTCCAAAGTGGTTGCACCATTTTGCATTCCCACCAGTCATGTATAAGGGTTCAAATTTCTCCACATCCTTGATGCTTACTATGTCTCTTTTTTATCGAATCATGCTGTTACTGTTAAGTGCCATTGAGTTGGTTCCAACTTATAGTGGCCTGTAAAGGGTTTCCAAGGAGCGACTGGTGAGTTTGAACCTCTGACCTTGTGGTTCAAGCTGACTTTGTGGTCCAGTGCTTTATCCCACAGCACCACACCAGGACTCTTACTAGTGGGTATGATTTATCTCACTATCATTTGGATTTTAATTTCCCTGATGGCTAATGATGGTTGAACTATGTGCTTATTGTCCATTTGTATATCTTCTTTGGAAAACTGTATATTCAGATCCTTGGCTTATTATTCAGCTCAGTTTGGTTTTTTACTGTTGAGCTATACAATTTCTTTCTGTATTCTGGATGTATGTCTCTTATCAGAGAAATGATTCCAAATATTTTCTCCCATTCTGTAGATTGTCTTTTCATCTTCTTAATGGTGCATTTTGAAGCACAAAAGTTTTTTATTTTGATAAAGTCTAGGTTCTCTGTCTCTCATTTTTTTTTTTTTTTCTTTGCCACTTGTGCTTTTTGGTGTCATATCTAAGAATTTTTGCCTAACCCAGTGTCACAGAGATTGACCCCCTATGGTTTTAGCTCTTCCACTCAGGTCTTTGATCTGTTTTAAGTTAACTTTGGTTTATGGCATGAGGATGGGGCTCCAGTCATCCCAAGAACATTTGTTGAAAAGATAAAAAGATGATTCTTTCCCTGTG